GTCTGTTCTGGCTGCTAGAACAAAAATACACCACAGGCAGGGGAGTTTAAACAACCACTGATTTCTTTCAGTTCTGGAGGCTGGAAGTCCAAAATCAAGACGCTGGCAGATTCAGTGCATTGCGACAGCCTGATTCCTGGTTGATTCCTAGTCTTCTTGCTGTGTCCTCACTTGGTGGACAGAGGAAGGATGATCTTTGGGCTCTTTTATAAAGACACTAATCCCATTCCTGAGGGCTGTTAATCACCTCCCAAAGGTCTCACCTTCTGATACTTTGATTATAAATGATAAAATTGAAAAGTTATCTACATAATGTAGACAATATCTGGCACAAAATAGATGATTAATAAATGTTGGTGCTTTCCCTTCCATTACCACCACACAAAACACAAATTACTGAGGCTCACAGGTGACTTGTCTTCAACCCTTTCCTCCGTAGTTCAGAGGTTACACCATGACTACTGTAAGCGTAAACAACAGGCTTGTGCACACTTGATCTCAACAATCAATTCAACTTCCAGAGGCAACTTGCCCACAGCTGTCAAAATTACTTCAGGCACATCTCACTTGGTTCAGTGATTACAAGTCCAAGAATTTCTCCTACAGAAATACACATGCACAAAATGTATGGAAAAACAGCTTATGATATTTAAAAAAAACTAGAAATGACTCAATTGTCCAACAGCAGGGGACAAGTTGGCTACTTATAGTATGTCTAGACAACAAAACCAGGGAGCTTTTGTGTACCAAATTGAGATGATCTCCAAGAAACACGTAAGGAGAAAAAACAAGGTGAGAAAAAAGCTATACGCTTGTACAGGCATACCTCATTTTCTTAAATGTTATTTTCCAGGTCTCAACATTCAAATTGATTTATTCTTGTATTTCTTTTTTTTTTTTTAAGATTTTATTTATTTATTTTTAGAGAGAGGGGAAGGGAGGGAGAAAGAGATGGAGAGAAACAGCAATGTGTGGTTGCCTCTCACTTGCCCCGTACTGGGGACCTCACCCATAATACAGGCATGTGCTCTGACTGGGAATCGAACTGGTGACCCTTTGGTTAGCAGGCCAGCACATGTATACCTCGTTTTATTGCACTTCACAGATATTGCATTTTTATCAACAACAAGGCAAGACCCTCCACCAGCAAAAAAGATTATAATTCACTAAAAGCTCAAATGTGGTTAGCATTTCCTTTTTTAAAAATATATTTTATTGATTATACCATTACAGTGGTTCTATTTCCCCCCTTCATTCCCCTCCTCCCTGCACACCCCTCCCCCACCATTCCCCCCTTTAGTTCATGTCCACGTGTCTCAAGTTCTTTAGATTCTATATTTCCCATACTATTCTTACCCTCCCCCTATCTATTTTCTACCTACCGTCTATTCTACTTATTTTCTGTACCTTCTCCCCCCTTCTCCTTCTACCACTCCCCTGTTGCTAACCCTCCTTGAGATCTTCATTTCTATGGTTCTGCTCCTGATCTAGCTGTCCTCTTAGTTTGCTTTTGTTTTAGGTGTGGTTCTTAATAACTGTGAGTTTGCTGTCCTTTCACTGTTCATCTTTTTAATCTTTTTCTTAGGTAAGCTCCTTTAACATTTCATATAATCAGGGCTTGGTGATGATGAACTCCTTGAATTTGATCTTATCTGAGAAGCACTTTATCTGTCCTTCCATTCTAAATGAAAGTTTTGCTGGATAGATCAATCTTGGGTGTAGGTCCTTACCTTTCATGACTTGGAATACTTCTTTCCAGCCCCTTCTTGCCCGCAAGATCTCTTTTGAGAAATCCTTTGGGACTCTCTGAGCTTCCTGGATTTCCTGAAAGTCTATTTCCTTTGCCAGATTGGGAAAGTTCTCCTTTATTATTTGTTCAAATAAGTTTCATTCGTGGCTGTTCCTCTTCCCCTTCTGGTACCCCTATAATTCGGATGTTGGCACGTTTAAAGATGTCCTGAAGGTTCCTAACACTCATTTTTTTGAATTCTTGTTTCTTCATCCTTTTCTGTTTGGTCATTTTTTTCCTCCTTCTGGTCCACTCCTTTGATTTGAGTCCCAGTTTCCTTTCCATTACTATTGGTTTCCTGTGCATTTCCCTTCATTTCAATTAGTTCAGCCTTCATATGTTGCTCTAATTTGTGACTAAAATCAACCAGTTCTGTGAGCATCCTGATCACCAGTGTTTTGAACTGTGCATCTGAAAGTTTAGCTATTTCTTCATCGCTTAGATTTATCAGCTCTGGGGCTCTGAGTTGTTCTTGAGCCATGTTTTGCTCTGTTTATGCCTGTTAGGTATGAAGAGCAGAGCCTTAGGTGTTCACCAGGGCAGGGCCACCCAGGTCGCTGGTTTGTGACGCTGTATGTGGGGTCGGGGTCAGAGAGGGACAATAGTGGTCCCCTCTGCCGCTTCCTGCCACTGGGGCCTGCACAGTCTGTCTCACCACTCGCTCCTTCACCGGTTTATCTATGCGTGAATGTGTGACCGTGGTCAGCCCTCAGTGGATCCGCCCATGGCTGCCGGTGTGCCTGGGTCACGTGCCCGGTCAGTCCAGTGGATCTTTCCCGTCCGAGCCTGCTCTGCTGCTGACTCTGCCCCTCTTACTGGTTTGGCTGAAGGGTTCATTGTTGTCAGACTTCCGTATAGTTCAATTTTTTGTGTGGTTTAGCTGCGTTTTTGTTGCTAAAACCTTATTATTTTTAAACTTGGTTGTGTGAGAAGGCACAGTGCTTCCACCTATGCCTCCATCTTGGAGGAAATCCTCTGGTTAGCATTTCTTAGCAAAAACAGCATTTTTAAATTAAGATATGTACAGTGTTATATTCATAGAGAACATTTTGATAGTTGTCAGATGGGAGGGGGTTAAGTGAAAAAGGGGAAGGAATTAAGATGTACAAATTGCCAGTTATAAAAACAGTCATGGGGCCAGGGGCCCTGGCAGGGTGGTTCAGTGGGTTGGAGCATTGTCCCATACACCAAAAGGTGGTGGGTTCAATTCCTGGTTGGGGCACCTATGGGAAGCAAGTGATCAATGTTTCTCTCTCTCTCTAAAATCAATAAATCTATCCTCAGGTGAGGATTTTTAAAGCATTTTTTAAAAAACAGTCATAGAGCCCTGGCTGGTGTGGCTCAGTAGATTGAGGGCCAGCCTGTGAACCAAAGGGTCACCACAGGTTCAATTTCCAGTCAGGGCACATGCCTGGGTTGTCAGCCAGGTTCCCAGTAGGGGGCACTCAAGGAGCAACCACACACTGATGTTTCTGTCTCCCTCCCTTCCCCTCTCTAAAAATAAATAAATAAAATCTTTTAAAAAATAGTCATAGGGATGTAAAGTACAGCATAGGGAATACAGTCAATAATATTGTAAAAATTGTGTGGTGTCAGGTGGGTACTAAACTTATGGGGGTAAGTTAGATAAATGTCTAATCACTATGTTGTACACCTTGAACTAACATAGTATTGTATATCAACTGTAATTAAAAACATTTATTTTAAAAAGGTACATAGTGATTTTTTGACATAACGCTACTGCACACTAAATAGACTACAGTACAGTATAAACATAACTTTCATATGTTCTGGAAAATTTTAAAAACTCACAGGACTCACCTTATTGCAGTGGTCTTGAACCAAACCTGCAGTATCTCCAAGGTGTGCCTGTATTTTGCTTTAAACGTTGATGGAAAGATACACAAAAACATTAACAGGGCCGAGCATGGGAGACTTCATATTACTCTTAATTCTCTCTTAATATCTTGACTGAAACCTGAACCATTTTAAAGCTAAAAATAAGTTTGTATAGAGGGAAAGGAAAAAATGGGGAGTCACTGTTCAATGGGCAAGGAATGTGAGTTTAGAATGATGAAAAAATTTTGGAGCTGGATGGTGGTGATAATCACACAACAGGAACGTACTTAATGCCACAGGACTGTGTACTTAAAATGGTTAAAATGATAAACTTCACCTTATATGTATTTTTTATAATCCTCGCCCAAGGATGTTTTTATTGATTTTAGAGAGGAAGGGGAGACACACAGAAACGCCCATCAGTTGCCTCCCATTCTTGTCAGACCTAGAACCCGCAGCCTAGGTTTGTGCACTGACTGGGCATCCGACCCCGCAACAACCACCACCCCCCCCTTTTTTTTTTTTTTGGTGCCCCGCGCTCCAACCAAACGAACCTCCCGGACAGGGCACATTATGTGTATTTTACCATAAGAAAAAAACTAAAGTTCGTGTATGTATGGCAATCCATTTCAAGCCCTGGAAAAAAAAATCTTTGCTTAAACGGAGCTTTAAAATGGAATTTGGGGTACAAAGCGCCTGTCTCTGAAGCAGTTCATCCCTTAGCAGCCGCCACCTAGCGTCACTGGTCAGGCCCGGTAATGCGGAGTCCTGGGACCCCCGAGTCTCCCAGGTGACGGGGCCCGTGCGGAAAGGTGGATTGCGGGACCCCAGGCAGAGGGAAGGACCCGGGGCGGCGACGCGAGACTCCGGGGCGTTGCGAGCTGCCCTGCTGGTATCCTGTTAACCTTCGGCCTCAGGAGCACGCAGGCACGGTCACCCGAGTCTTCCGACCCCAGGGGCTGGGATAGCTGGACTCCTGAGCCCCAGTCAGCCTCCTCTCAGCTAAGAAAGCTCTTTGAGTCCAACCCGCCCACCACGTGAGGATACCGGTTCCCTTACCGATGGTACTTTCCTGAGCTAAGTCCGTGGCTCTCGAAAAAGGCTGCCACCCTGCGCCTGCGCACACCCCACACCTACCCCACGCCTACCCTCTTGCCTACCAAAGGAAGTTCCCCGCCTGCGCATACTCTCTGCTTGCGCAGAGCCCGGGCGAGTCAGCAGAGGACAAAGGGGCGGGCTCGGCGACCGTAGCCCGTGGTTCGATCCCACTCATTGGCTGACAGTTGGAGCATAGGCAAGACTCGCCACTGATTGGGCGACGCTCAAACACCTGGGATCGCGTGGGCCAATGGTGGGGCCTGTTGGGGCGTAAGTTCGTACACTCCGCAGCTGTTGGTTGAGTTGGCCGCGTTTTACGGAATGGCTTCGGAGAATCCTCTCGTGGCAGTTACCTGCACCGCGCCGGTCAACATCGCGGTCATCAAGTACTGTGAGTGCGCGGGCCGGGGGCACGGATGTGGGGGCGCCGTCAACCCGCCGGGGGATCCGAGTCAGGGGACATTGTTCGCACAAGACGACCATTCCTAGGGAGGGGCGCTTAGCTCCCACGGTCACGCCCACTCCATCCACCTGGGGCCTGCTCTTCATTTCTAGCACGTTCTCTGTGCAAGAATGCTCCATAAATGGAATCGTTCAGCATGTAACATTTTGGGATAGGCTCTTTTCACTCACTATACTTTCTGGAGGTTCATCCGGGTGGTGGTGGCATCAGTACTTCGTTCATTTAGTGCTGAATCCTGTTCCCTGGTGTGGTTGGGCGACAGGTCATACACCCTTTGAAAGGCAACTGGGTTATTTCCAGCTTTGGTATATTAGAAATAAAGCTGCTATAATAAAAATAAAATAAAGAAATAAAGCTGCTATAAGTTTGTGTATGGGTTTTTTCTTTTTTAAAAAAATTATTTATTTTCAGAGAGAGGAAAAGGGAGGGATAAAGAGAGGGAGAGAAACATCAGTTGATTACTTCTTACGTGCTCCCAACCAGGGGCCTGGCCCACAACCCAGGCATGTACCCTGACTGGGAATCAAACTGGAGACCTTTCCGCTCACAGGCCCGCGCTCAAACCACCGAGCCACACCAGCTAGGGCTGTATGGGTTTTGTGTGAACATAAGTTTTCATTTTTCTAGAATAAATGCCCAGGAGTTCAATTGCTGGGTCATAGAGTAATTGCATGTTTAGTTTTTTAAAGAAACTATTAAATTGTTTTCCCATGTTACCATACCATTTTACATTCCCACCAACAATGTACATTGTAGGTTTTTTGGCATTTGGTGGTGTTACTGGTTTTTGTTTTAAGTGATACTTCATTGTGGTTTTAGTGTGTATTTTCCTACAGGCCAATGATGGTGAATACCTTTATGGGCTTATTGGTCATCTGTGTGACCTCTGGTGAAATGTGTCTTCATGTCTTTTGTCCATGTTTTAATTGGATTGTGTGTGTGTGTGTGTGTTTTCACCATTGAGTTTTTGATATTCATTTTATATTGTAGATACTAATCCTTTGTTGGATACGTGGTTTGCAAATATTTCCTCCCACTCCAAGTAGCTTGTCTTTTCTTCCTCCTAACAGGGTCTCCCACACAGCTAAAGTTTAAAAAATTTTGGTGAAGTCCAGTGTATTAGTTTTTCCATTAATGGATCATGCTTTTGTTAAGTATAAGACCTCTTTGCCTAGCCTTATGTCCTAAAGATTTTCTCCTAGAAGGTTTGCATTTTAAATTTAAGTCTGTGATCCATTTTGAGTTATGAACCTTGACTTGGGTCAAGGTTCATTTGGTGACCTATAAATGTCCAGTTATTCCTACAGCATTTGTCAAAAAGGCTGTCCCTCCACTGAACTGTACCTTTGTCAGAAATCAGTTGGGTGTATATATGGGGTCTTTTTCTGGGCTCTCATATATCACCTGCCAGGTATGAATCTTTATTATCTCCTGTAATTCTGCCACCCCCCCCCAAAAAAAAAACCAAAAGTGCAGCATATTGTGTGTGCTTAACAAAGAGTTTCAAAATTTTCAGAAAGCTTACTTTGTTTGCCATGAGATGGCAGGAGTGGAAGTGCTTGGCAGAAGTAGGGGCGATTTTGACGGTCTCCAGGGAGTATGAGCAGTGAGATTTAAGGTGCTTTCAGTAACTGAGGCTCTTTCTGTTTGGGTGGAGAAGGCAAAAGCCTAACAATTGAGCATTCAGTACCTGGTAGACGCTCCAAGGTGGTTTGTCCGGTGAGTGAAAGAAGATAAAACAGAAACAGTGAAACAAGGAGATAGCTGGTCTCCAGCTCTGCTTTGGGACCTGGAGCCAGTGAATTGCAGAGCAATCTGGGAGGGCTTCCTGAAGGTATGGATATAGGAGAAAGAAGACTTAGACTGTGCACTGAAAGAGCAGGGTCTAGGTAAATGGGGAACTGTGGGATGGAAGTGGGGGTGACTAGGGAGCACCACTGGGGAGGTGGGGCTTTGGTGGGTGGAGGCATCAGTGCCCTGGTATGCAGGGTCACGAAACTGACCGGCCTTGCCTTGGGTTGTCTGTTGCAGGGGGAAAGCGAGATGAGGAGTTGATCCTACCCATCAACTCCTCCCTGAGTGTCACTTTGCACCAGGACCAGGTTAGTATGGACTGGCAATAAACACCAAGGTAAAAATTTACTAAACTTTCGTTTAACAATTGGTAGCAATAAATCCCTAGTTCATGAAGTGTATGTTCCATGCCCCAGTGTTAGGAATGCTCCTTGCACCTACACCCCAAGGTCACCCCTGAGGTTCTGTCCTTTCACTCTTGTGTCCGGTTCTGCTCTGGGAGATGGAAGTGTTGGCCTCACCTTGTGTGGAGAGACCAGGCTTGGAGCCGAGCCTGCCACTGTCTGACTCTCCCCTACTGCCTTGGCCTCAAACTCCTTTTCCCAGCAAGTCTCTTCCTGCCCCTGAGTGGGTGATGGGCCTGGCAAGAAAGGCCTCCCCAGCAGAAAAGGGTGATTCGCCCCTGAGGGGTCCTGCATTTTCTTCTTCAGTTGAAAACCACTACAACAGCTGTCATTAGCAAGGACTTCACTGAGGACCAGATTTGGCTTAACGGCCGGAAGGACGACATAGGGCAGCCACGCATCCAGGCCTGCCTGAGGCAGAGTGAGTGGGATTCCCGCATAGGACATGGGGGCCAGTCTCAGCCTGTTCCTTCTTCGTCCCTTCATTGCTGTGGGTGGAAGCAGAGGCCACAGCAGATGCTGCTGTCTCTGCCCTCCCTACCTGGCTTTGAGACCCCCCCAGGGGCGGGGCATGGAGATACCTGTTAGCTTAGCCTGATGTGGGTCTGGGGTCTGGGGCTTTACCCAAGAATCAGGCCTGTAGGAATTTGGGGAAGATGTCCAGTGCCAGCTGTGCCTCTGATCCACGGCAGGCAAGATGTCAGGAACAGGTAGAGCAGTTCTACCCAGTGGCTGTCTCCCCCTCCACAGTCCGCTGCCTGGCCCGAAAGCAGAGGAGTGGTCAGGAGGAGGACCCGCTGCCTCTCAGCCTCAGCTACAAGGTTCACATCGCATCGGTGAACAACTTCCCCACAGCTGCAGGCCTGGCCTCCTCGGCCTCAGGCTATGCCTGCCTAGGTGAGTGCCTGCAGGGAGACTCACGCTCTTGCAGCCTTCACAGAGGCCTTGGCACATGAGGCTGAATGTTCACATCTGAATGTCAAAATCTCCTGAGGTTCTACGTGACAGGAGCCCACCTCAAACTGGCTTAAGTCTAAAATAGGGACAATTTTCTTGGTTAATGTAACAAAATTTCTAGGGTTGCAGCTGCTTCCAGACTCTCCCACAGCCTCACTGGTCATCCATTTCTCTCCCTGGAAGTGCTGGCTTGCTTTCCTCTGCATTGGCTCACTCTCCAATAGGGCCTGCTCACCTAGGCACAAAGCTAGTCACTGGAGTGGTGGGCAGCGGGCTCATATTGTCCTCATAGCCACAGCAACCCAGTGGAAACTCCAGAGATGATGCTTACTGGCTTGGCTTGGCTTGGCTTATGTACCCATGCCTGAACCACTGTTGGGGATGGGTGGTGGGTAAGCCAGGCCAGGAGGGGTGCCAGTGTCTGGGGCAGAGCTCTTGCCTTGTGGACCGCAGCTGTGCATCCCGGCATCAGACCTGTGGCCAGGCCCAGCCCTGTTTCATCATGCCCAACATGCTGGCCACCCTGGGCATGTACATTCTTTAAGCCTCTGTGCCTTGGTGTCTGCCCCAAATAGCACCCCTAAAATCCCAATTTTGGGTCACTCCTTGGAGAAACTCTGTCCCCTCAGCACTTGGTTCTTCAGGTCCCCAAGAGTGGTTCCCCTCCATTGCAGTACCACAGGCTCTAATGATCTCTGTGTGTCAAAGTGCGTGCCTTTGAGAATGCTGAGTACGTGAGCACGCGGAGCAGGGCGTGGGTGAGGAGATGAGTGCCAGCCGTGAGAGTCAGTGGCTGAAGCTCTTGTCATTTCAGAATTCTTTTTACTTTCCTGTAGGGCACATTCATAGGGTGCTGAGCATAGCCTGGGCTGGGACCCCTGTTGCCTGCATATCTTAGTTCCCCTCCCCCATTCACTCTCCTTGTGCTTACAGCGTACGCCCTGGCCCAAGTCTACGGGGTTAAGAGTGACCTTTCAGAAGTGGCTCGTCGGGGCTCGGGCAGCGCCTGTCGGAGCCTATATGGAGGCTTTGTGGAGTGGCAGATGGGGGAGCAGGCTGACGGCAAGGACAGTGTGGCCCGGCAGGTGGCCCCTGAATCACACTGGCCCGAACTCCGAGTCCTCATTCTTGTGGTGAGTGAGACAATGGTGGAGTGAGGAGTCCTCTTGGGCCAAGCTGAGAGCAGGAGGAGATAAGGCTTCGCCCGCCTCTCAGGCCTGTCGTGGGTGACAGAATGGCAGTCTGTGGAGCGTTCAGGGGCGACTCCCATGCAGCAAGGGGCTGCAGATCTGCACCCTGCTATTCCCAGAATTGTATCATCTCCGCCACAGTCAGGAGGCCTCTGTGGTCAGAAGCCCCCACTCTGCTGTCTATACCAGCTGAGGGGAGGGGCAGGACAGGGCGGGTGTTTAGCGTTGGGGCCTGGAGGTGAGGTGCAGGCCATTTCCCCCTCCGTGCAGGTGAGCGCCGAGAAGAAGATGACTGGCAGCACTGTGGGCATGCAGACCAGCGTGGAGACCAGCCCTCTGCTCAGAGTAAGGCTGGCACTGGGGCAGGCGCCAGTTCCCCAGGGTACAACCTGCATGTCAGGACACATGCCAAGCTCTACCCATGTCCCCTGAAGCTGAGCTCATCTGCTCTGCAGGGTGTGTCAGTGGGTGCTGAGGCCTGGGGGAGGCTCTGCCCCAGAGCCTGTGCTCTGAACACTGTGCTGTGAAGCAGCAGGCTCTCGCTGGGAAGCACCTTTGCCTTGCAGTTCCGGGCCGAGGCAGTGGTGCCGGCACGCATGGCAGAGATGATTCGCTACATCAGAGAAAGAAACTTCGAGGGCTTCGGCCAGCTGACCATGAAGGACAGCAACCAGTTCCATGCCACTTGTCTGGACACCTTCCCACCCATCTCTTACCTCAGCGACACTTCCAGGCATATCATACACCTGGTGCACCGCTTCAATGCCCACCACGGGCAGACCAAGGCAAGGTGGGCCAGGGCAGTGCTGGAAACCCAGAGAGTGGGCCTCAGGCCGTGAGTGTCAGTAAGACCAACATGTACTTGTTTGTAACAAAGCTCCACAGAATCTGCTTTATGCTCTTATGTGCAGAGCACCGACAGTTTTTGTCTGTTGCATTTTGGTTCCGTGACTGTGGGATCTCACCTTGTACTTCAAAGCACTGGTGTGGGGGACCTGCCCACCCCGACCCGGTCCTAAGTTGTCGGGCAGAGGTACCACAGCTCCACTCTGGGTTGGCCCCATGCGCACTGTGGGAGGCCCTGGGTCTCCAGGCAGACCAGAGGGGCAGAGCTACTGTGTAGAAGTTGATGTTGACCACTTGGGTTCCAGGTGGCATACACATTTGATGCAGGCCCCAACGCGGTGATCTTTACCCTGGACGACACCGTGGCTGAGTTCGTGGCTGCCGTGAAGCACAGCTTCCCCCCTGAGTCAAACAGCGACAGGTGAGTTTTGTGCCCCCATACTGGGGAAGCCATGGAGGGAGGGGCAGGATCTCCTGCTGGGGTCAGGGATGGCTGCACCTGAGGCTGTGGTGCCAAATGGGGAGGCTTCCAGGAATTATTGATCCCTTTGGGGACCACAGGCAGTATGTCACCAGTGAGCCTTGCCATGAACTCTTCTGCTTCACATGTCCCAGCCCCATGTTCACACATACACATACATACGGCCTCATGACTCCTGTGCGGACATCGACTGCAGCTTCACTATGGGGACAGAACATTGGGATGTTTCCTACCAGTTGTGTTAATGGCCCTTTCTGAATGTGGGACACCCTCCTGCCAGGGCTGCCGGGAGTCGGGGTTTGTTTTACCTGTTTCTGTATTTGGGGCCGCACTGTACTGTGGGCAGTACTGGTGGCTAGTGGGGGGAGGCCAGAATGTTCACTTCCTCCCCAAGTAGGACAGCCAGGATGGCCTTGGAGGCCAGTGGTCCCTTGGTCAGAGCTCTGTTCTCACTGTCCTTGTCACCGCAGTGTGTGGTGTGCGGAGGAACACGGTGATGCACTCGTGCTTGAACTGGGCAGAGCGATAGCCATGGGCCATGGATGAACCCCGATCTCAGGGAGGTTTCCTGAAACCAACCTTCACTGTGACCCCCAGCTTGGCTCTTTGTCATTCCCGCTCAGTTTTTTGTGTGGACGGTCAAAAACACTTGGAAGTGTACACAGTTCAGCAGCATTAAATACGTTCATTGTTGTTGCAAACAGCAGTTCCATCTGGTTCCACAGTTGTTTGTCACCCCCAGAAGAAGCCCCGTTCCCATGGACACTCACACCCTCCCGGTCTGCACATCCTGCACGGTTCTCGTTGACGGGCACACGGTGCACTCCTGCCTTCTTTCCCCAGGTTTCTGAAGGGGCTGCCTGTGAGGCCTGCCCCACTCTCAGACGAGCTCAAAGCCTCACTGGGCATGGATCCCACTCCCGGCGGCATCAAATACATCATTGCCACTCAGGTGAGTCCTGACACTGGCCCTCAGCCCGGGGTCTGAGGCCCCCGTGGCCCCGCCCCCCTGGGGAAGTGCCCGTCCAGCACACGGGCTTCACAGGCTTAGACCGGTGTGTCTGCCAGATGGAGGGGTTCCCTTCAGCCCCGCTCCATCTCAGGTGGGAAATCAAGGTGTTAAGAATGACAGCAAAAGTAGGAGGAGCGCCATTCTGTTTTTGAGACATCATCTGCTCCACTGGTTTGTTTCACTTGGTCTTGAAGTGGACATTTCAGCACACACTGACTCGTGAGGGCACATTCCCAATGAGGGGAGAGGGAGGCACTGGGAATGGAGACTCGGGGATCCTGGGGACCCTCAGGCCTCACCCACCGGAAGCAGATCAGGATCATTGCTCAGAGCGGCTGAGCCGAGATTTCACTCAGGTCACCTGATTCCAAGTCCGCATGCGATCCTGTGCCTAGGCCCTACTCTCTGCCCTTCGCACAAGTCTGGGGAACAGAGGTCGGGACCACACGGCTGTGCCTAAGGGGGTTGGGCGCAAGGCCAGGCCATCGTCACATGGTGGTCAGTGACCCTGCAAGGGCGGGGGTACACCCGTTCTTCCCCGTAACCCCAATTTGACATTGATTTCTCTTCCTGCCAGGTGGGGCCCGGGCCTCAAATTCTGGACCAGCCTCATGCTCATCTCCTGGGCCCTGACGGCCTGCCAAAGCTAGTGGCTTGACCCCTCCTCAAGGGGAACCCTGGCTGCCACTTGGAGAAAGGACTGCTTTGCTGGGAATGGGGTGCTCTGTGTGGCGGTAGCTGTGCCATGTTTGTTGGGACCAGTGGGTAGGCACCTGGCCTGAGGCCAGGAATTGTGCTGTGGCCAAGTGTGGGCAGTGGGGTGACAACCTACAGTCCCTAGGTGGCCAGGAGCAGGCCCCCTACCAAATGCCTGAGCTCCCCCACCAGTTCTGTGCTGAGATGAAGGCTAGGGTGACATGTGGGACCCTGGTAGATCCAGCAACAGGGGTGAACAGCTGGTGTGTCCCCCATGAAGGATCTCTGACCCTGAGCTCTGGGGCCACTCCCACTGCCTAAACAGGAGCTCTTCCACCTGAGATGATGGGGCGTCAGCGTCTCTCTGGAACTGGAGGACCGATCACTGTTCAGGGGGCAACCGCTGCAGGCTCAGGATCCCTCAGAGCACAATGGTCATTCTAGCTCCACTGCCAGCCTCTGTCCACTGGATGCAGATAGTATGTTTCTTCATAAAAAGACCAGGAGTGGGTCTCCAGTGGGAGGTGGGAGAGCAGCCCCAGATTCGTTGTCACACAGGAGCCCTATCAACTGGCCACTGCGAATAAAGCCAGAGTTGCTGACCAGGCCTGGCATGCCTCTGTGGAACCAGTGTTGCTGTGTGGGCGGCAGGCAGTAGTCATAAGGAGGTGGGGAGGCCATGGCCACGTGCCGCCTCCTGCAGGACGGGGGAACCTAGAACTTGCCCATTCGCTGACTTGCTCCTGAAGAAGCTGCCTTCTGACTCAAAGTGCCCCTTCAGTTGCCCAGCCCTGTGGTGGGGTGTTCGGCACATAGCCTCCCCCATGGCCATGGGCCACACTAGGTGACTGACAGGGTCACCAGAGCTCTGATTGGTGTGGGGACCTGGGTTTGGTCTGGTTTTACGTCCCCAGCCCACAGTGGGAAGCACGTGTGCAGGAAGGAGCACCGATTTGGGACGGTTCGCATCCCAACAGCTTAGGGTTTCTGGAATCCAGGAATGGCTGTTACATGAATTTTCCATTAGGGTGCAGGTTAACGCCCTCTTCCCCACTCTCCCCTGGGAGGGTCAGATGCTGCTGCTGGTCCTTAAGGGGGTGGGCAGAAGAAGGAGATGACAAAGGGACAGGAACTAGCAATCTTACATTCTAGGTTTTCCCAGCTCTGCACACCTTGCCCTCCCCTAAGTGAGTCCTGTGAGCAGAGGGCTGCCCACAATACCTGGCTAGCTCAGGGCCGGGTGATGTGGGGGTTGGGCCTGCCACTGTCTTAGGAGCAGGCATTGACTTCTACGGAGGACCCCCCAGGCTCAGAGACTCTTGTCTGAGGCCCTTCTCCCTGGAGGGGAACTCCCCAGTGGGCATGGTGAAGGCTCTGAACCTTTTAGCCCTTCTCGGAACCTGGCCTGCTCACCTCTTCTGAAGATGCCGATGTTGGCACCTGTAAGGAGCTCAGCATTCTGTGGGGACTTCCCGCAGAAGCAGGTGTCTGCCTCACTGGGTTTCCCCTCCCTGGTGCTCACACGGGATGCTTAGGACACTGGCAGGACAGGTGCCTGGCGTCAAGCAGGCATCTGAGTGGGTGCTGGAGGTGGTGAGGCAAGGGCTTCAGGTGCGCAAGTCAAGCCGGTGTGGGGTCCGGCTTCCCCCGAGTCCTCCCTCGGGGGGGCGGGGCCGGAACCTGAGAGGCAAAGCTATTCCGCTGGGTGGGGCGGGGCTGGGGGTGGGCAGACCCGGGGAAGTTAAGGGGCGGGAGGTGGTGCCGGAACTCCGGGCTGGGAGTTGGCTGGGAGGTAGCGGTGGCGCCGGGTTCAGCGTCCCAGGCGAGTCAGCCGTGTGGGCCGCCGACATGGGACAGATCGAGTGGGCCATGTGGGCCAATGAGCAGGCGCTGGCGTCCGGCCTGAGTGAGTATGCCGGAGCTCGGCACGAGGGCGGGGGCCGTGGGGAGTCAGCGACCCAGGTCTGCAGGCTGGAACAGTTGGGGCACCGGGGGACCCCAGGGTGCAGCGAGCAACGGGGCGGGCTGGAAACGGGATGAAGATCCAGAGTCCGGAGGAGTCAGAGGGCCTGGGCTGCGGACTGGGAGGTGTGAGCTGAAGCCCGGAGAGGTGTCCCGAGAGTTCTGCGGAGACCTGCAGCTGCAGGGAGGGGAGCCGGACCTGGGGTAGGCTGGGGTTGGGGGCAGCCGGATGGTGGGAGGCCTTGAGCTGCGGAGGTTGTCCGGAGACGTCCCTGCAGGTTCGTCTGCTTGGTCCCCTCCCCGCTCTGCTGCCCTTTCTTCATTCACCCCTCCGCCCTGCTCAGACCTCCTCCCAGAGAGGAAGTTTGCGGCCAGGGTGGTTTCCAGCAAGTTACTGCTCTCCAGGATTGGGAAATCTGGGCGGGACCCCCTGTCCCCACCGCCTCTCCGACCCTGGAGTGGGTTTCTGCCCAGGGGTCGCCAGGGGCTCCCTCCCCAGCCCTGGGCTTTCACTGGACATTTAAAACCGCTCGTAGGGACTCTTCCTATCTCCACTTCCAGAAACTGCTTCTGGGGAAAGATGACAGGCCCCCGGTTACCCTGAACCTATGCTCGGAGCCCTGGGGAAGGCCCAGTGGGGTCTGCACCCCTGTGCTGTACTGGGAAGGGGAACCGCTCAGAAGGGGCGCTGAGTCTGTGCCCAGGAGGGGCTTAGGCAAGAGGAAGTGGCCCAGAAGCTCTGCCAGCCCCCAGGGATCTGCCACTCCCAGGAAGGACCTGTAGGGTGGTGGGAGTGTGTGGATGGGAAGACTGTGGAGAATGTGGTGAGGAGGAGGGTCCCAGCCCACCACCATTCCCCCCGAGACCCAGCCTGAGGCACCCCTGCCACTGCGGGGCTGGAGGAGCCTGGCAAAGCTGTGGGAGGGATGGACGTAGATGTAGAGGAAGTCCCTCTGGCCTTGAACTGTAACGTCACATTTTGAGGTGGGCAGTTTGGGGCATGAGACCCAGTGGTCTGTTCTGTGTTGAGGCAGGTCATCCCCCAGTGGGTCAGATCCTTCTTACTGGTCCCCAGAGCTGACCCCAGGCTGTCCCCGTGCCTGGCTGTAAGGCCTTAGACTGCTGAAGACCAGCCTGCCTTTCTCCAATAGCTCCCAAGCCCCTGTCCCACCCCCAGGAAGTAGAAGGTGACAGAGGACACCACACTGGGAGCTCTGTGAGAAGCCTAGGATCTAGTCCCAGTAGAGGCAGACAGTGACACTCTGGTGTCCCATTCATGGCGTGCCCACTGTGTGCAGGCTGTCCCTTCCTCACCATAGCTAATGTTCACAGCATTGTGAGGCCAGTGCAGTTCTTAGTCCACTTTACAGGCAGCGAAGTCAAGTCCTAAACGACTGCACACTCTGGCCCTGTTCCTTCTACCACAAAGGGAGGCAGCTTGTTGGAAGGTCTTCTGGGTCCCTTCCCGCTGTGAGTTCCCCTCTCGCTGACTTTTTTTACTGACTCGATAAACTGCAGCCCCTAGGACTGCTCGGGACTGGCTGGGCTCTACTAGCAGGTGCGTCCAACAGGCTTCTTTTTTGTTATAGAAAATCACATGTAATCAGAGCATGTCACCTCCTGTCAACAATACTGCAGTGCATCCCACTGTGAAGAATAAAAACCAGATTCTGACTGCTGTGCCCCTGCCCCCCTCCCTCCACTGTCACTCCAGCTGCACAGACCTCCTTTCTGTTCCGATCTCCCGGACACATGCCAGGGCCTTTGCAGAAGCAGTCCCCCATGTGAAGCATCTGTGGCTGGCTCCTCCGTTCATCTCTGAGCAGTCTTTCCAGAGTACCTAGACATCTCTGTCACGGTCCCCTGTTCTAGTTCACTACTCTCTGATGTTTATTTCTGTTCCCTCCTGGACCGTAAGCCCCATGAGGACAGGGGCCTTACCTGTCTCGTTCCCTGTACCTGTGAGAGACCCACTACACAGTAGAGCTACCAGCTCTCGTGCCTCTCTAGCCAGCCAGAAAATTACACCCCCAAAGACAAGTAGACACATGGTGACTGGAGGTATAGGAAGAGTACCCTTCCCTCCCAACTCACAGGAGTGCTCATGAGCAAACTGAAAGTAATTGCATAGCTGAGCTTAACTCCAAGAATAGGAAATCTGGCCATAAAAGTGCAGTGAGCTTCCAAGGAGGTGAGGCTAAGGCAGAAGGAAGGGGCATCTGGGGAACTGGGACCAACAGGAGCTCAGGCTTTTACCCAGTGGGATTTGGGGGCCCCATTGTAAAAAGGGGGGGCTGAAATGGAGCTGCATGCTTCAGATTGGAGCCAGGAAAGGCTGCCTGTACAAGAAACCAACTAGAAAACTGTCATATTCAAGGAAGCTTGTCATTTGCTGTTAGAGCCTGGATGAAGAAAGTCACGAGCAAGACAGAACCTCCAGAAACTCAGGCCTGTGCTGTGCGAGGGGTGAGGGCTGAATCCTACCCTGTGCCACAAGGACCAGCAACCAAGAAATTCAGATAAACTGGATCTGGGACCAGAGAAGCCCGTAGGCCCCAGGCAGAGGCAAATGTGAAACTGTTCTGTAAGGGCAGTTCCTCAACCAGGGCACGCGGACCGCCACAGGAAGACAGACGGGCCCTGCTGGGCGCAGCTCACAAACGTACCCACCATTTGAGGAAGTAGACACCAGACATGAGGATGTGCCTCCTTAGCACCAGAGCTTCTAGTGCCATTAGGAAGAGACTTGAGAATATGGGTACAAACGTGGAGGTATGTTTAGAACTGTTCGAGGGGATAAAGGGATAGAAAATTATACAGGGCAGTGCAAAAAAAAAACCGACTAGTATAGGATGTCTAGAAGTAAAATACAGAGTCAATGAAGGTTAATTGAATTAAGCACAGTGTAGAGATGAAGAGAGAATTGGTGACGTGGAACGGGTCTGAGGAGACCACAGAACGCGGCTGAGAGAAGCCGAGTCTCCACAACCCCACACCTGCATCATGGCATTTTCAGAGGAAAGAATCAACAGAATGAAAAGAGGCAACATAGAGGGGAAATTCCAAAATTGAAGGAGGGAACAAAGTTCCTTACAGAATATAGGCATTTGTTTAAATTCCTTCTGAGACACATTGTAATGAAAATACAGACCATTAAAGGAATTCTTCAAATTTACCAGTTAATAAAGTGAATTATTATCAGACTGATTTCAGACTTCTCATCATCAATAATAGGTGCCAGAAGACAATGGGATAATATCTCTGGTATTGAGACAAAAACCATGAATTTCGTATCCAGACAAACTATTATTCCAGAATGAGGGCGTTTTCAGGTATCCAGAGAGTTGCTGCTAAGAGAACCTCATGGAAAGGACTACTAAAGGATGTACTTCAACAAGAGAAATTAAATACAGAAGGAAGGAAGGGGATGCAGGAATGAAGACATTGGTGACTAAGTACTGACTGTAAATAATAATAATAGGTAATTTGGGAGGTGAGATTGAAATTAAATGTTTGAAGTCCACTTGTGGTTCAGGAAAAGGAATTTTAAAATTAAAGTTTAATCAAGCCAGCAGGAGGAAGTACAAAAACACTTGTTAAAGAGAAAACAAAATAAGTTCCAATTACCTGCAATCACAGCCAATAAAATCTGTTAAACTCACTGTCAGATGGGTTAAAATATTAAAAGTTTGCTTACATCAGCCTATTTGTAATAGCCCCAAACTGGAAGCAATCAGATTTCTCAAAGACATAAAGGATGGTAAATTGTGGTTGATTCATACAATAGAAAACTTCACGAAAACAGTGAGCTAGTGACCCATCCAAACCACGTGAGTGACCTGGACAGCCTTTGGCTGAGCAGAGAAACCAGGTCTAGATTCCACAGTGGACTGGACTGGGGCCCAAGAGAGCTTCCCGGGAAGGTGGGGACCTTGACTTGGGTGGAGGTTCTATGGAGGCGCACGTTGTGAAAAGTCATCAAGCTTACGCCTTTATTTTATTGTACATAATAATTATACCTCAAGAAATTGTTAGAAATTCTGGGGGTGGGTACACAAAAATGTGACTGTACTTAATGCCACTGAACTGTTCGCTTTAAGACGGCTAAAATGGAAAATTTTATGTACATTTTACCACAATAAAAAAAATGTCTGGGGAGAAAAGACCCAGCAGGACCACACAGAGCCCAAATTAAAGAGATGGAATGGCCGACAAATCCAAACCAAAGGAGGGTGTAGGAATGTCAACGTCAGACAAACTGAAATGAGGTAAAACACGGGAACAGGGACAAACAGGAACCATGCAATGAGGAGAGGCTGTCCATGGAGCCGACACAAAATCCGAAGTCAACCATGTGGCCTTTAAATGCAAAAACTCAAAATGACAGGGTCAGAGCTCAAGAGTGAGTGTCCGGGCTGGAGTCCAGGCTCCTCCTGCACAGGGCTGCAAGGCAGTCTCTCTCGCCCGCAGCTCCAGGGACACAGGCCCGGCTCCACTAGCTTCAGCCCCTTCCCCAGTCACTGCCACTTCCTCAGGGAAGGCATCCTCCATTATCTGCAGGTGCCTGTAGCCACCTGGGTCCCCCTCCTGGGCAAAAGGGTTGAGGGGACTCAAGGGCAGTTTTGTGGTGGTCTGTTGGCCCAGCTGTGGAAGCAGGGAGCACAAGGGGAGGTGGGCAGAGCCCCCTGTGGATCCCAGCCCTGCAGGGAGGGGGTGGAGGCAAGTCTTTCCCATGGTCAGGGGCTCCTACTAACCCACTTTTCTTCTGCCCGCAGTCCTCATCACAGGCGGCATCGTGGCCACTGCTGGCCAGTTTACCCTGTGGTACTTTGGCGCCTACTCCATGTATCCTCCCACCGTAGACCCAGTGGGGTGGGTGGCACTGCCAGGGGCGGTGCTAGTGGCCTGGGGATGGAGATGCCAATGTCTCAGTGGCACAGCACTTTACAGTTTTCACAGTGCTGCTCACATCCCTGGGCCCTTTAGACTCAGCAGGCTAGGCTCAGCTGCAGTTTTGGAAGCCAAGGCTCAGCAGGGAAGTGACTTGTCTGGTGCGTGGCAGGGAATGGGAGGTGTCACACCCCTAGGGATCCTCTCTGAACCCTCTTTTATCAGTTGCCCTGTTGCCTGGCTGTTCCAGGCCTTCTGAAACCCAGGACAGGCAAGGGGGAGAGAGGGTGCATGCAGGACCGGCAGCAAAGTGGCCAGTCCTGTGGGATCCCACCTGCCTGTCCCCGCACTGTGTGGCTCCAGGTGGCACTTGCATCTGTTTCTCAGCAGAGGGGCTCACTGTGGCCCCTCAGGCTGGGCTGGGCTGTTCCTTAACCACAGTTTCAGTGCAGCAGGAGTGTTTGTCTGTCTGCTGGAATACCCCCGCGGGAAGAGGAAGAAGGGCTCCACCATGGAGAGATGGTCAGTCCCCACCTGCCCTCAGTTCAACTCAGGGGCCGGGTCGAACCCACAAGGGTGGGACACTCAGCCAGGAGTCCTGCAGGAGCTGGACCTGTCCCTCTGAAGCTCCAGGTCCTTGAAAGGAAAGAAGCCGGGGTGCTCTGGGGCAGGGTGGGCGTGGGGTTGCTGAGTAGGACCCAATCCATCTTCCCTCCCTGCTCACTTGGCCTAGCGGACAGAAGTACATGACGAAAGTGCTGAAGTTGTTCGGGCCCCTCTCCAGGAATTACTACTTCCGGGCCTTCCTGCACCTGGGGTGAGTCCGCCCACTCTCAGGCTCTGGGAGGGCCCAGAGTAGCTCCTCCCCACGGGCCTGAAGGCCTGGACAGGAGCACTGGGGGCAAGTCAGGTCCCTCTCAGCCCAGCTGTTTTCCCAAACAAAACCCAGGCCCCAGGCTTTTCTGGAAGCCCCCCAAACCTGTATCTGTCCTCTCCTCCTGCCTAACAATTTACCCCAAACTTTAGTGACGAGGCACAGCTGGGCAGTCTGCTGCCTCACACACGTGTCTGGTGGTGACTGCAGAGAGGCCAGCACACCTTCCTGCCTCTGCAGCTGCGTGGGCCTCCCCCCCAGCATGGGGGTGGGGCCAGGATCAAGGGTCCCCAGGTAGTTAGGGTACAAGTCAGGACAGCTCCAGAGACCCAAATTTAAAAGCCCAGCCTTGGCAGGGCCAGGTGTCCCCTCTGTCCACAGTCCTGGGGACAGTACACTCACTGTCTGTTTTGTACTAAGCTCTTATGTCCTCCACCTAAGACCTGGAGCCCCTGCACACCCCCTCTGACTGCTCTTCTCAGCCTCCCATCCCCCCACACCCATCCCCTCCTCAGGCTGTCGGTACCAGCTGGCTTCCTGCTTGCCACCATCCTGGGGACAGCCTGCTTGGCCATAGCAAGTGGCATCTATCTGCTGGTGAGTGGTGTCGTCTGTGGTCACCCCTGCTGATGCTTGACACCTTGGTCCCTGCAGCCACCTGCAGGCCAAGCCAAGGCCAGGAGCTGGTGTCCTTCCTCGTGGGATGGGGATGGGGGCGACTGCATTTCAGCAAGTTCCCTGGTGCACACTCTTCACTACCCAGCAGGCCTGGGTGCCCTCGGGGAGGCTCCAGGCCGAGTGGGACCGTGCCCTCCACCGCTGTCCTCCTGGGCCTCTCCCACCCTGTGTGGGTACTGCCGGCCTCTTGACTCACCATGATGGCCACACTGGCCTGGCCTCTCTGTCCTGCTCCTGTGGGGAGTCTGGGAGCATGCACCTGGAAGTGGCTTCCAGGGGATCTTTCAGAAACATAGGGGGTCCATGCCACTCCTGCTTGCAGGGTCCCTCTTGGCATGGTGTAATAATCCCAGTTTGGGGTCGGGCAGAGCCTCCAGCCAGCCTCTTAACCTCTGAGCCACAGCCCCTTCAGGTCTAATGGGATTCGGTCTGGGTTCTGCTCCATGCCCTGGTAGGGATGTGAGTGCAGGGGTGAGGCCAGGCTGGGGGTGGGCCTTGCAGGACCCCAGAGCCCAGCCCCTCTGTTTCGGGCAGGCAGCCATCCGTGGTGAGCAATGGACTCCCATCGAGCCCAAGCCCAAGGAACGGCCGCAGGTTGGGGGTACCATCAAGCAACCACCTAGCAACCCCCCACCCCGGCCCCCAGCTGAGGCCCGCAAGAAACCCAGTGAGCAGGAAGAGGAGGCAGCAGCAGCAAGGGTCCCCAGTGGCCCCCAGGAAAACCCTGTCCCAGTGACGGATGAGGTTGTGTGACCAGTGCCTCAAACTGCTCCCTGAGTGGCTTGTATAGCTTTTGGGGGGCACCATCTAGACCCCAAGAGCACCCCCTTATCTGCCTGGCAGAACCATACGCCCTCTTCTGCTGTCATTCCCAGAAGCCTGTCATCTTTCTCTATGACACCTGAAATCACAGCGCTTTTTCTATTCCATGAAATAAAGTATCTGGAATTCCAAGTATTTGAGTTTCTACTCTAGAAATGAAGTCCCCAGGCCTGGGAGGAGGGAGTGTGTTTCCCCCCACAAGCTTTCCTGGACCTGCCAGAGACTCGCCTTGTGGAGCCCCCTAGTCCCACCCCAGCAGCTGAGTGCAGCAGGAATGCACGTGGGCAAGGGGAGGCCCCAGGGAGCCCAGCTGGCCTTCACCTTGATGTCGCCCAGGACAGCCAGACCAGCTGTGGGGGGGCTTCAGGCCTGCCCTTGCCTTTCCAGTTCTGAGGCCGCAAACACATACACCAAACATCTCTCTCTCTCTCTCTCTCTCTCTCTCTCTCTTCTCTCTTCTCTCTCCTCTCTCTTCTCTCCTCTCTCTCCAGGAGGGGGCTAGACATGGCATGGCCCTCCTAGGTACTGCCTTTTGCTCCCTAATGGGGAGTCCCATGGCCCCCAAGCTTTGCCTGGCTTCAGCTCACATCCTGGCCTGGGAAGCCTCCTTGGTGGGCTCTCCCCAACCACCTGCTCCCTCAAAGTCTGGAAAAGTCCTTAAATCCCTTGCCTGCCATTTGCCCCACCAGCTCTCAACAAATCCTGCTCTCAGACCTGGGGCCCTCTAAGGTTCCAGGGCCAACTCAGCACCGGCAGCCCTGACCCAGGACATGGCCACTCCAGCCTCCCAGAAGGACCATAAAACTGCCAGCCCCTGACTCTCCAAGCCCCATCAGGGCTCTCTGTCTTACAAATCTACTTGTCACCTCTCTGCTCTACCCTGTCACCTGCAGGCCATTTCCAGCACTGTGGTTGAGCCTGGCACCCACTCAGACCTACAGACTCCTGCAGTCCAGGACGACACTGTGCATCCTGGACCCACAGTTACCCCCTGCTCCCTCCGCTCCAGCCAGTGGGCCACCCCACCCCTCAGGCAGGCACGCTGCCTTCTCAGGGCCTTTATGCAGGCTGTGCCCTCCACCTGGAACACAGGTCCCTAGCTGGCCACCCAGATCTTTGCTCAGGTGGCCTCCATGGCCGTGTGACCTCTGTTTGAAATTGTAGCCCCTCCACCTTTCCTGCATCACTGTCCTTAATTCCTTCACCAGCCCTAATGGAGCACTTTGCTACTTATTCTGTGGTTGTCAGTCACCTTACATGTGGGCAGCAGACATCTGTTCATTTTATCCACTGCTCTATTCCTGGCACTAGGCACATGGACACTCGGCAAATATGTGCTGATCCCATGGTCCTTCCAGGCTCAAGACCAAGGTCACCCCTCCCTACTTCCTGGTACTTGCACATAGTAGGTGTTACTCAGTGGGTAAAAACAACTGGTCAGGCAGGGAGGTGCTGAGGGCCCTGCCAAAAGGTGGTCATGGCTGAGCCAGAACTGCCCCAGGTCCCCTTCCACATCCGCTGAGGCCACGCACTCCTGGCCCCCTTAAAGAAATGCCTCCGACAATCCTATGCTGGAAAGTGCAGATTTAGGACCTTTGTGTGAGGACAGGCTGGGTGTCAGTTGGCCAGTGGGGCATCTAGCTTGGGGACTAGCAGGTCACCTGTGGTGGACAGAAGCCCAAGGGGCCGTTGGGGCCATCGGATGGCCTTCGGAGCTCCTGGGCCTCTGCTGGGCTGGGGGAGCAAGGCTCAGCTAGGTGAAGGTGAATGCACTCACCCAGGCTGCACAGGTACCCCCCTGAGCGGATACCCCCTGGGAGTTACCCTCAGAGATGCCTGTCCCCGGGGTCACAGAGGTATTTCCCCAGGATGGAAAGGGTGCTCACTGTCACAGTGTAGGTCTGGTCACACCCTGGGCCGGTGGGTAGAGGAGGGCCCCTCTTCATCACAGCTGGGTTGTGGGGACACAGCCCATCCCCGGGAGCCAGCACCATCGCCAGGAGATGTGACCAGGCAAAAACACAGCAGCCAGCAGGGCACACCTGTGTTCCGCTCTATTCAAACACATCCCCCACCCTGGATGTGTTGGGGTTCACACATAGGCCTTCCTGGTGAATGTGGGCCTGCAGCTACTCCTGCAGGGCCAGCTGGGAGTGAGGGCCAGGCAGGGGTGAGGGTGAGGAGGGTGACTTCACCCCTGTATTTGTGACATCCGATGCTGTGCCTTCGGGATGTCTATCAATTTAATGACACGTATTTGCATTTATAATAAATAATTGTTTTAGAAATACAGGAGAGGTGGGAAGAAGGAGTGTGGGGGATCCCAGTGGGACCACCAAGTGGGGCCATCACAACACCTTTCCTGTTTTTATTTTAAAAAGTTCTGGAGAATAATAAGGTTCCTTCTAGCCTACTGTTGGTGTGAAAGGGTAACTGAGCATTGAGAGGGGGCTGACTAGAGCAGAATCACCTGGCCCTTCCACTGAGTGCCCAGTCTCCACTGTTCCTCCTCAAACTAGAGGCCTGGAGCCCTGGTACCTGCCCGGGGACCTTGGGTAGGAGGAAGCAGGCTCACCCGGGACATATAAATAACCAATAAATACACATAAATAGGAGGGGCCCTCTCTTCAGGGAGAGCCCCACTGTCCAGTCTGGGAGGTCATCCCTGCCCACAGCACAGCAGTGGGGACATCTGAGGCAAGTGGTCACAATACCACCCTGGGCAGGACACAGGTGCAGCCGATGGGCACTTGGATGGACTCGACATGGAATTCAAAGGCCCCGGGCGTGGGCGCCCCTGTTGTGTCCTGGGAGCAGGGCTGTCTGCGCAGCACCAGCAGGCTCTGGTGCAGCGGGACAGAGTTGAGCGCTGCTGTCTCACGGCCGGTCCTGGTGCTGATGCAGCCCCTGCACAGGCACTCGGCGAAGGCCAGCTTCTGTGGGTAGCGGTTCTCGTCCATGTCCACGCTGCGGGAGAAGAGTGGTGAGACACTGTGGAGAGTCTCAGCAGGCATGTTCCTCCTTCCCTCTCTGCACCCCGTGGCTGCCCCACGCACTCTGGGGCGCTCCTGGCCTGGGAGCTGAGGCATCAGGCTGCAGGGAGCCAGGAGGGCAGCATGCAGTCAGTGCTCAGCAAGCGGTGATTTCCCATGACTCCAGTGCCCTCTCAGAGCACCGAAGCTAGGGTAGGTGGCTTCCATGAGCCGCCCTACCTCCCTTTTGGCCCAGCCCATTGCCTGCAGGGGTTCAAGTGGGGGTCCCAGAATTTTCCCAGAAGACCCTGGTACCTGAGTCTGGGCTGAGATCTCAAGACAACAGTGGCAAGGAGGAGCTCACTTGATGGGTCCCCACCCCATCCCCGGGAACAGGTGCCTGGTTGGATGGAGGTCAGGATGCTTATCCCATTTAACTAGTGAAAACACTGAGGCTCAGAGCTCTTCAAGGATCCAGTGGCAAGAGAAGGGAAGGAGCAGCCCAGTGCCACACAGGAGAACCCCAGTGCCCAGGGAGCCCCACAGCCCTCACCGGTATCTCCAGGGAGAGATGGAGCGCTGGTGGATGTCAGCTTCCAATACCTCCTCAGGCTGCAGCACTGAGCACTGGGTTCCAGCTGGGGGTCCCTTGTGCCGCTTCCTGCGGTCCACTGCTTCCAGGCTGGACACCAGGGCTACCGGCAAGGTCTGCTTCCACTTGGCAGCTCGAGCCAGCAGGTGTGCAGGAGCCTGGCCCAGGGACAGCTCCTCGGCTGAGTAGCAGCGTGGGGTCCCCCGGGTGTGGATGTGGGGGCCTCCCCAGAGTGGGGGACTATGGAGAGCCAGGCTGGCAGACAGCCAGAGCAGAAGCAGAAGGCCAGGAAGGAGCTGGTGAAACAGGCAGTTGGTGGTCAGGGCATGCCCAGTGAAAGAGGCACCTTGCTGCCACCCCAGCTTGCCCTGTTCCCTGTGTAGAGATGGGAAATAGCCTGCTCTTACAGTTGGGGAAACAGACCCAGAGGGGCTAGCCCCTCAGCCCAAGCCCCCCAGTGAACCTGAGTTCTGGTTCCCTCCTGCCCCAAGATTTGGGGGCACTTCCTGGACCCCATCCCAACATCATTAACTCAGAGCTCAGGGAACTGCCAGTCCTTCTGGACCAGATGGCACAGTCCATGTGGGGGCGTGGGGAGAGGCAGCTCACCATTTCAGTGGCAGCGGCTGGGCTCAGAGCGACTGGTGTGTGCCTGGCGACAGTCCCAGGCACACTTGGCTGTGGTTCTGGGGTGCACCAGATGGCAGACCTGGCCAGCTGGCTGTCAGCACCCTTTATACCTCTGGCCACACCTGGGGAAAATCCGGCATCGCTTCCTCCTTGGGAAGTGCCCAGCTGCCGCTTCCTCCTCCCCTCTCTCCTGGTCCCCACAGACTGTCCCTCCTCCCCAGCCCAGGGCAGATGAAGCCCACCCCTTGCTGCCGACCTTCTCTCACTATCACCCTAATTGTCACCCTATTCTGTTTTCTTCCTTTCCACACCCAGACAGACCCCGCCCCAGGCTACACACCTGTAGATGGAGCCGCAAACAGACCCTGCCTATGTAACATTCTGGAACCTTTTGTAAAAGGGTTTATCCTGAGTATTCTTTTTTTGTTGTTTGTTTAAGATTTTATTTATTTATCTTTAGAGAGGCAAAGGGAGAGGGAAAGAGAGGGAAACATCAATGTGTGGTTGCCTCTTGCATGCCCCCTACTGGGGACCTGGGCATGAGCCCAGGCATGAGCCCAGACATGAGCCCAGACACAAGCCCTGACTGGGAATCAATCAGCAGCCCTTTGGTTCACACGCACATTGGAGCTCAATCCACTGAGCCACACCAGCCAGGGCTGCTGAGGATTCTTTAGCTTGACTCTCTGATTACACCTGTATGTTTTCGCTATCTGGACCTGGTGACCCGGTACCTGGGGCGGGGCTCACGCATCACATGCTGCAGCACAGTTCTCCTGTCCTGTCAGTGGACATGAAGTTCACTTCATTTTTTACCTAAGATCATCAAGATCAGGTGAACAGCAGTGTCTGCATCAAACTGCATGGTTGGGGGAAGTCCCGGGGAGACTTGGGGCGTTGGGGCTAGTGAGCATCTTTAGGCTTCATCAGAGTGGGGC